GTAAATAATAAAATACATTTTTAAGATTTTCCCACTGATCAGTGTTATAAATGTCATTTCTGTACGATTCCAATCATTTTTATAGTCAAAATCGCCAAATTTGCGGAGCTTCGCTGCAAAAACAGGAAGAGACGAGAGGTGAGGCAGCGACGAGCTCAGCCTCCCCTCTGATTGCGCAACCCCTCAGTAACTGGATGGAGCACGGGCAATAAGCGCGTGCCCCTTACTATCTCTCTGTATGTCACCAATGTAATGTTTGTAGACCCCTTCATTACATGTCCTCGCCTTACATAGTCAAGGTAACTTATTTCACCTATGTGTATAAAGATATTTAGGCTCGCTGGTCTCGTCATGAAACTGCAATGAAAAAGCACCAGGGGAGGCAGCTATCACATGTGCCTCACTGAGGGGGGCGTGTCAAACACGCTTCCCTCAGTGAAGACACGCCCTCCGTGAGGCAGCTATCACATCTGCCTCACTGAGGGGGCGTGTCTTGAGCCCACGTAATTGACGCTCGCTCTCCCTCCACGTTAGCCAGCTATAGCAAAAAAATTCCAGCGGCTGCAAAAATGGAAAACGTCATATCTAACCTTAAAATTTTTCTCAAAAATTGGACTGTCAATAAAAACAGCGAGTAATAAACAATGGAAGACCAATGCCTGAGCTTAAGGACCTACTTTAAACGAAGGGACAGAAAATAACACGGTCGTTTCAAATGGAGTGGTACAAAATAAAAGACTGGCTGTGTGGCTGTGCTACGAAGAATCGCCTTTACTGCTTTCCCTGCCTTCTGTTCTCCACTACTGACAACGTTTGGATAGAGCTCAAATTCTAGACTAGTTCAGACGATCAGCCATGTACCAATCTGATCTGCGTTCTGTGTTCTGGATTATGAGCGAAAATCCCAATGATGGCCGCCGGATACGATCTCTGGCTGTCAAAAGCATCAACCTGCTTCTTCATAATGGCATATGAGGGCATTTTCAATGAAACCGATGCACTCTTTCGTGTGCTGCAGAATAAAGTAATGGACATTGGATTCTGCTGTGCGCGAATCCGCGACACAATGGGAGTTGTGGAACGCCAGAGCCAAGAGTTTGACAGTTTCTACGATCGATTCGAGCAGAAATGCGTCACACTTGGCCTGACAGACAATGCCGGAAGTAAACAGCCGATCAAGAGATGAGAGGAAAATAATGTTTTGTAACATTCTGGACAATATCAATGTTCAAATGAAAGCTAGGTTTGATTATTTCGGTGAGCTACCTTTCCTTGGTTTGGTTGATTGCACGAAATTTTATGAAATGTAATAATAGGGTTTTCCCCCTTTTTTTCTGGCAACAAAACTGATACCTTTTTACAAGGAATCATGTCTGCATTAACCACAATACTTGTGGTCAAAATGCAATAAAAAAACACACTGATAATAAATGCATTGTTCTTGAAACTGATTGGTCCACACCAGGGAGGGCTTTCTTTTGAGCCTCCACCCAATTGGTGCTAGACCAGAGGACGCCAAAAGGCGTACAGCTCAAAGACAATGCACTATCAAAGTAATGAGGGCATTAGTATACATAGCCAGTTTTGACTGTTCAATGGTTTTATCACCTCCGATTAGCATGGTTTGATATAAAAGAAGTTCAACAACATATAACTTCACTACTCAATGTATACAAATAGAAAACCGTTCGTATATCAATTTCGATTTAAAGCTTTCGTGACTGCAGGGATTCATATTATTGGTTCTTTCGGTAAAGTCACGTAGAAGGGAAATGATAAAAACCGCCACTTAAAAAAAAAATCTTGCTGTGGTTTTCACACCTGATGATGATTGCTTGTGTTGCAATCGAAACGTCGTGCAGTAGTTGCTATGTATACTCACCTGTTCATAAATTGAGCTTAGCCACAGCTGTTCAAACACCCTGCCCACCAAAACAAAGCATCTTTGTGGCAGATCCTCTTGGCTGATTCATTATTTCTAAACACAAGCAGCAAAATCAAGTTTGACAACTTAGATCCTTGCTGGCATAGATTAAGGCTTTGTTTGATCTTGAGAGGATAGATGTGATTCGCATTTCTCTATTCACCTGTTGACATTGCTTTCTGGTGCATTGTTGGTTGAATGCATATAATGATAACAGTTGTTCTTGCAGGGAAAAATGCTCCAGATTCAGATATGTTAATTTAGCATTTTTGTATTGTGATTAGGCTTGGGAAATGACAACGCGTTTGTGTATTCCTTTATGTAGAGTCACTCAAATTATACATGTGCATTAAATACATCTGTGAAAATTAGGATAACTGAAAAGGTAAAAAAACAACTAATTAATTAGCCAAAATAACGCCAAATGTACAAATGGCCTTAAGCTGACGTAACTACAATTCAGTGTCGTGAAATTTTTTGTGAAATTACAATGCATTTTCCACCGTAAACGATTATTTAATTGCACTTATTTAATATCCATTTTGAATTGCAGTGGATATTAATTAAATAAAATGTGTGATTTTTGTTTGTAATGGAATGGCAAATTTAATTCATACACAATCTAACACATGCGTTCCAGACGTCAGTTGAACAAAGCCAAGTACAGTATGTATGCTTGGGTTAACTTTTCACCAAATTCTGTGCGAATTCCAAACTTTGGTTAAGTAGCACTTACGGAATAACAGCCACGGTAATGAATGGCATTGAAATACATTTTGGGAAAACAAATCGGTTGCATTGATGAACATACACGTGTGTATTTGTTAGTATCTCAATGATGTTAGAAGGCAGCAGGACTTAATTAGGGAAGGCGGTGTCCTGGGAGCAGACACGTGCTATTCTGAGTGAAGTTTAATTCTAAGTCAGTCGTGACCTCTGGCATGTGTTCACTTGTAATACAAATCTAAAGTGTGCTTGCCAGTACATCTGCCAAGATGGTGTAAAATTTGCCAAGGCTTGCATATATTGTTGTGTACTCACCAAGTAGAGGTTGAACATTTATGTCTTCTCCAACCATTGTGAATATAAAACAGCGATGATGCTAATAATGCATTTGCAATATGTCCTCGGAGCTGTAGGGAAATGTGCCTCATTTTTGTATTTGGCAAGGATCCCTTTGAAGAATTAGTGAATGGTGGTCATTGTGTCCGAAGATGTATCTCCTTGCCTGGCTGCCCTTATAACATATGCACTGTTTACTTTCTTCATGCAATCTCAGTGAAAGCTGTTCTATCTCTGTAAATGTGTTTTTTTATATTTTCTAGATATATGTTGTTTAGGCCTTGGTTTGTGAGAGCTTGGGTGACTCCACTGAAGGTAAATACCTCTACAAATGCACAATGACCAATTGGAACAGAAAATCAGGAGGGACATTTGAGACCCAACCATAAATTGTAAGCAAACCAAGCTTTGGAAATGTTTCTGTACCATCGATCACATACATACAATTAAAAATATTCTGGAAAATTCCAATGAATATCGCATAACATTATGCCTTGCTCTTGCAGATTACAATTGAGCATTTGACTCGGTGAAACACGATGTAGTTGCCCAATAATGAAGACCGATATAAAAACACATGAATAAATAACGAAAAACATTTTCAACAATGGAACAGCCACAGTGAGATTACATGTCACAATTAAACAAATTACATATCAGAAAGAGAGTCAGGCAAGGAGAGATACTTTCACCAAAGTTCTTCACAGGAGCATCAGAAATGTTTTTATTCCATAAATTGAATTGGGGAAATAAGAGCGTAAACATAAATGGATAACCATATATACATCTCAGTGTTGCTGATGATACAATGATTACAATAACAAATGGACAATGAATTACAGGTAAGTGTTTTAAATCATTGAAGGTAAAGTCACCAAAGCTTCAAATCAAGATTGAAGGTAATTGTTTTAAAGTTCGGATCAAGATGAGAAAAACTTAATTCATCAACAACAAGTTCGCTGAAAAAATAAGATATTTGTTTGACTAGACAACTGGAAACGCATCACAATATATATACCTCGTGCACTTATTAAAGGTGGACTGGGAACAAAACGATATATCATTTATACATTTGTTAAAATATTGGCAAAACTAGATAGTTCCTTTTGGCGGTCTACGAAATAACAACACATGCAAGAGAATACAAATACATGTTGGCTTGTGTAAGACTTTCACAGACTTCAAATTGAGAAGATGGACAATATGTATGTAGAGTTTGTCCAGCGGGTGGTGTGAGACTGATCAATGGCGGGATGCGAGCAGTGTTGCCTGCATAAGATTATACGAATCCAAGGGCAAACAAAACTAGGCGACAGGTAAAGGATGAGACAAGAGGTCACAATAGTTTGGATATCTACTCAGGTTGGATTGAGGATATCGTGAGAGGTGATGGAACAGAAACCGACACACGATGGAAAATAGGAAGAGCTCAGAGCAGATTGGAAGACATAGTCGACAGAGACTTGGCACAATTGGATCTAACAATACCAACAACAGAGAAGGAGATGAAAGATTTCAAGAAGTGGGTGATAAGCAGCCTATAGTCGCTCTGAAATATTTGAAAAGTAACAATTCTGCGTGAGCATCGTTGCTGTGTGAGATATTGGAAGCACGATTTATATGCCAAATGCGTGAAATGTCCGCTTTAAACAGAGCACATTTATATCGTAATGGAGTAACCATTGCTACCCAATTGAAAAATATAAAAGATGATTTGTACTCATTAAACCCCCAAGTCTGAAACCCACATATGGTGGATTTAACCTCCAACAAACAGGTGCATGTAATACTCTACATAGATTTAAAATTATGCCATGTCAAGTGTCCTCAGTACAAACATGGATACTTTGTTTTATGTCATAATTTCAACTGGTGAGAGGCTTAAATTTTGATTTAAAGCTTTCGTGACTGCAGGGATTCATATTTTTGGTTCTTTCGGTAAATTCACGTAGAAGGAAAACCACACCTGATGATGATTGCTTGTGTTGCAGTCGAAACGTCGTGATAATTTTATTGTTTTATATTTTTATTATTTTATTGTTTACCCTTCTACGTGACTTTACCGAAAGAACCAAGAATATGGTGAGAGGCTTGTTTTGATCAGTTAAGACACCACGAGGGGAGTCATCAGGGGGAAGAAATTGATTATTTATTTGTTTTAAGCAAATTACCTTTTCGATTGATGCCTGTAACATACTGCGTCTCCATGTAATTGATGCCTGTAACATACTGCGTCTCCATGTAATTGATGCCTGTAACATACTGCGTCTCCATGTAATTGATGCCTGTAACATACTGCGTCTCCATGTAATCGAAGCGCAATGCATTTTGCATTCTACCGTACGCCTCCAGAGTACGTTCGCTGAAGCAAGTGACCGAATATGTTGACACCTTGAGCATACAAAATACAGGGCGTCCATGAAGCGCCCTTCTATTTTATTGAAATCAAAGCAATTTAGGGTAAATTACGCAATAATATAAAATCAGTTCGCCGACAAGCACCCGGTGGCCGGGTGACCCACGTAACCCGGTCGGGCCCAGCCCGGAATGGCTACGCGGGTGAGGGGCGGGTGTGCGATGCCAGTATGGAAAGGGGAGAGGGATGGGTCTCGGACGGGCTGAACACCGGCGATGGACAAACTCGCTACGGGGACGTTGGCATGCCCACGTCACTGGTGGGGAAGGAGCCGGAGCTGGCGGAGGTGGTGGAAAGGTATCGGTCTAGACGTAGTCGGTCTCACCTCCGCAAACAGCATTTGTCACTGGTACCAAACTTAACACTCAAACATCAGCACCGTCAATATCTGGGCACAGTTAAAATATTTCAGCCGCATTGCGGAACACATTTTGCAGCATCTGCGGAGTTGATTTTTTTTTAACTGTCGCCCATATATATGTATGATATCGTAAACCTTGCAGATCTCTAGCTCGTGTTTGATACCACCTCTGACTTGATAAAGCCCCGTGCAAATAAATCCAAAGGCGTTAAATCCGGAGATAGAGCTGTCCAGGGATCTGATGCCACCGCGTCTCACCAAGCGATTTGGAAAACGTTAATTCAGGTACTTCTAAACGATGTTTGCGTAATGACAAGGAACCCCATCTTATTGAAAATGTTACTACCATCACACGTTCTTGTACGTTCATATTCATAGGGTCCTGCAACGAAACGTGCATATACCATTAGTTCAATGAAATGGATAGGGGCTCTAATATTTTCTTTATAAGTCAAGCACATCCGCCTTGCTTTCGATGCTAGGTATCCAGAGGTGCTTCAATGCCATTGCTGAGCCGTCTTTTTTGGCTGAAGTATCGTTTCAGGACCTCCTGGCAGGTGAATGAGGCAAAGTAGTAAATGAGTGGGTCCAGCATGCAGTTGAAGGTGTTGAACATAAGTGACAGAGGGCGCCACCATATGTTAGAGTGGCTAACATAACCGATGACATGTGTAGCATTGTAACAACCAAAACAAAACAGATAAATGAGCATCGTAATTATGATCAGCTTAATGGCACGTGTCTTCTTTTCTTTCTGCATGTTGAGAACATTTTTGGAGAGGAGCACTTTCATGATGGAGGCGTAGCAGTAGGATGTGACAAGCAGAGGAATCACGTACAAGACTATGCACAGCACTAACCGAAGACTCTCTATGAAATTCAAGTCATCTTGGCTGAAATGATCATAGCAGGAGGAGGCTTCACTCGTGTTGTGAGCTGGGTCGATGTTAATCAAGTTGACCAGATTAATGGGTAAAATGTGGATTAATACCACCACCCAGATGATGGCACTCGCCATGCAGCCCCATATCTTCTTTCTCCACACCTTGGACTTGATGGGGTACAGGATGGCGAGGTAGCGGTCCACAGAAATGGCCATCATGGACAGGGTGCTCACGTAGGTGGTCGTAAAGAAGACCGTGTAGACGAAGTGGCAGAGGAAAAGTCCGAAGACCCACACGTTTGCCATGAAGTAGTACGGGATGATGAAGAATAGGCAGCAGACGAAGAGCACATCTGCTACGGCCAGGTTGATCATCAGCATGGTGGTGGAGGACTTCCTCTTGATGCACGCACAGAGGATGTAGATGGCCACGAGGTTGAGAGGCAGAGCAAGCACGACCACCAGGCAGCTGACAGCCGGCACCACGTGTTCGGTTAAGTGCATAGTTGACCTGTATGAATGACGGTAACGTCAATACACAGATACAGCAACTAGTTATCAATTTAGCCATTTACACAGTACTACAGTGCCCTTTGAATAACGTATTTGGACGTAATAATTTATATTATCGTGAGCCTTATATATAACAAAACACTTAATCTATGTAGAGTATTAAAATGTTGTTATGCATGTATGTTTAACTTTTTTCACACTGTCTGTAGTCAACCATGCTAATCGGAGGTGTGGGGGAAGGACAACAAACTCAACATAAAAAAACTTGTAAAGAAATTAGTTTTCAATCTAGAATCCCGTTGTGTAATGCAGTAATAAACATTTGTCTGCAGTCATAACTATCCATTGGTTTGCCTCTTATCGAAACTGTAAGGGAAAATTATATTCAATACATTTCATTGGCTATTTTGAAATAAATTAAACAAAAAATAATAGTCAGATATCATACCCAAGATGGATATGAGACATATTGTGGTATCATTATTTAGTGATGAACTTCATTACTCATGTTGTCAACACTTTCACTTCGTCATGATAAATTATGATTTTCTATTGCAGTAACTATATACGATTGTACCGTTATAGTCTGGGGTACCTGTGTTGATGTGGTATATCAACATATGGTCCCAAAATAAGCCTTTTTGCATTTTCATTAGTTATAATTACATTATGCTGAATGTGCTGTTTTCTAAAACATTCTGAAATTACGAGCTGTACCATATGCCAGATGTTCACTTCATACTGGCAGTTCACAGATTACCATTTCTGAATTTATTCTATAAACCCAATAATAGTTTTACTACATCAACATTTCTGCAACTTCAAAAACGGTAAAACGTACTTTCGCAGTAGCCAGATGTCTTCTATCCCCGTTTTCTTCAGCGTCGAGATGATGTTGTCTCACAGATATCAAATCGTCTTGAAAAACCATCAGACGTAAATACGCCCTGCATGATTATAGCCTTCTGTGCAAGTGACTGAAGTTCCTGGTATCAGAGTAAAACCACGGTGTGTTCATGTTTCAGAGAAAAAGGGAACACAGTCTTGTTTTGGCTATGAATCACGGGTTGTAATTTCGCAAAATGTCTCATGGAATTTGTACGTTACCCTTTACCCACAGTCGTTGTCAACAAAGCGTTATTATCCATTTGACCCGCTATCAATATACACCAGATGAGTTGGAATCAGATTTTGTTGTGATATTCCAATAAAGTATTTCACACTGTTTGTATAGAGGCTCAGATCAACAGTAATTGAGTAAGCAAATTAACCGTGATGTGTTAAAGTTGATGTAGCGATGTAATACGCTAAGAGGACACGTTTCCCATCTTCAGAGATAAAGACATCTCACATATCCCTCTTGGCTACACAATATCTCTTGTCTCCTTTGAGGGCTACCTACGACTATTTTTGGTTTCCAAGAAGATGGGCATGTGTACATGTATGCATGTTGAACGTCTTTCGCATCATACATAGCCAACGGTGCTAATCGGAGGTACATGGCCTTACCTTGAGTCAGGTGTGGTGGTTCAACGCCTCTGTGATCCAGCAATTTGGAGGCATGTGTTGGTGGGCGATGCCGATTTGTGATACTCTGAAATCCCGCTAGGTGTGGCATTACAGTAGATGATATCCTTGAAGCCATTTGTGCAGACACCTCGGTGTTATCGTCTCGTATGCTTGGGTTTCCTCTGGACATACCGGTTTTCTCGCAGGAGCAAAACATTCCTTGTGTGAAAAAACAATAGGTTTTACCCTTTTTTGCAATAAATCATGTTCGCATTAACCACACGTACCTGTGGCGAACATGCAAACACACATGCTCTGATAATATATGGCATTGTCTTTTAAACTGATTGGCCTACACCAGAGACAGCCTTCTTTAGGGCCTAGTATCACCAGTGTCAGACCAGAGAACGCCAAAAGGCGAACAGCACAAAGACAATGCCACTATCAGAGCATTCATAGCTCGGGGTGAGCAGCTATAAAATGGGAACCTTTTTGCCAGTATGAAAAATATACGTGATATTGCCAAAAAGGTCCCAAAACAGTCCTTAAAATGCAATAAAAATGGAACGCAGCACCTTCCCTGCATATTTCCAGTTTGGAATCTTCGACTTTTTTTAGTGTATCGTACCTCGTTTGTGTAGAGTCAATTTGACTTGTATCCCAAACACAACCTTGAATCTGTGGATGCAGTTTTTAAACGTTCAAAAGTTCGGTGATGTTTTCACTGTCACAAAATACTTACGAATGCAAAATGCAATCAAGATGTGTATCCGATTGGTGTCAGCATTAATACATGTTATACTACATTACACGGTGCAGTTGCCACCGCTGGTTGCCTGAGCGAGTCATACATCTATTCATTTATCTTAATTCAAGAGAATGTTTTATTTATTGAGAAGCACACTTTGGGGGGATCGTAGGGGTCATGGAGATGAACTCGCGAGGAGAGGGCGCACCCCCCCCCCCACCCCTCGCGAGGTGGTCTCGCCCATCCAACTTCGACAGGGACAATTACATTGCTGCAAAACTTTTTTGTTTAAACGTTATATCACCTGCGAAAGGCTGTGTTCGTCAAAAGGAAGGCCTGCCCATGCTCAACTTGGTTTCCTGCGTCGCCCACACCGAGCGTGCCACGTGTCAAGTTGACTCTGAGTGGAGCCGTTTGAATTGTCGCTATTTTGTTCAACGGAGCAGCTCAACTCCCTCGGGACGACTTGGGGAGGCGTGACTGAGTTCCGCGGCGGCCCCGCTTAGGGGCCGTCCATAAATGACGTCACGCACCTAGGGGGGGGGGGTCAGACATTTGTGACGATGTGTAACGAGGGGGGGGTTGAGAAATGTGACGTCACATCAAAATGCGCAACTTTAAATAAATATAGACGACACGTTCTACTTAATTAAATAGACTTTTTAATAAATGCTTTCTCCTACAACATCAGAGTGCAGCGCCACATTAAATACGCACTACAATGACAATAGTTTAAAGCGATTTGAAGCTTGTTCTATATTTTTTGGGGGGGGGGGGCAGAGCTTTGTGACGTCATATTTAAGGGGGGTCTGACTTTTTGTGACGCCGTGTGACGAGGAAGGGGGGGGGAGTCGAAAATCGTCCAAAATCGCGTGACGTCATTTATGGACGGCCCCTGAGGCAAATCTTCAGCCTAAGGTTGGCTGCTCCGCCAACGAGCAGGAGGCTGACGGGGCGGACCCAATGGGTCCACCCCACGCTGTCGTCCTCATCGAAGCAGTCAGAACCTCATCGTGACGTCACGCGATTTTGGACGATTTTTGACCCCCCCCCCCTCGTCACACGGCGCCACAAAAAATCAGACACCCCTCAAATATGACGTCACAAAGCTCTGCCCCCCCCCCCCAAAACCATATTTTCTTTCTAAAACATGCTTCAAATCGCTTTAAACTATTGTCATTGTAGTGCGTATTTAATGTGGCGCTGCACTCTGATGTTGTAGGAGAAAACATTTATTAAAAAGTATATTTAATTAAGTAGAACGTGTTGTCTATATTTATTTAAAGTTGCGCATTTTGATGTGACGTCACATTTCTCAAACCCCCCCCCCCCCCCCCTCGTCACACATTGTCACAAATGTCTGACTCCCCCCCCCCCCCCCCCCCGGTGCGTGACGTCATTTATGGACGGCCCCTTTGTCCCAGTGCCTTCAAACAAATGTCCTTCTTACTGCGTTAAATGCCTGGACATTTTTTATTTGAAGCTTTCGTGACTGCAGGAATCCATACTCTTTGGTTCTTTCGGTAAAGTCACGTAGGTAGAAATAAAACAATAGATAACGACGTTTCGATCGCGACACAAGCAATCGTCATAATTGCTTCCGCCTGATGACGATTGCCTGGACATGTTATGCAGCTTCTGAAGAGTCACCTCCAGGCAAAGCCGGGACTCAAATCATGCCCACTCTGAGAAGGATTATTTCCACTCTTCCCCTCCCTAGGTGCATGCAGGAGCAGTGCCGGATTAAGCTAGTGCGGGGCCTGTAGCAGATGTTATAAAGGGGTGCTAAATAAAAAACAAACATTAAAACACATTTTGATTTAAAGCTTTCGTGACTGCAGTAATTCATATTCTTAGTTTGTGACTTTACCGAAAAAACTAAGAATATTAAAACACATTTTAAGCTTGCATAGTAAAGTTTTTTTTTTTTCATTTGCTATACAGCCAGATAATACGACAAATCGCTAACCTTAAACACCCAGTCGTTCATAAAAGTTGAAGGCGGTATAGTACTATAGTAATGGAGCAAGTACAGAATCACTGAACCGGAATTGATAGCTTGAAAGCATTTAGCGCGGGGCCCTTGAAAGTGCGGGCCCCGTAGCATATGTAGCTACTTTTGCTACTGGGATAATCCGGCACTGTGCAGAAGGTGCTGGAAATGTCCTCGAAGCCCATTAAATGATCAGCAGACAAACCGATGAGCTGCAGGCCATGCAGGAGGACAACCCCCCCCCCCCCCCCCCTTCTGCTCTGTGCACCTTGGGGAATGGGTCTACAGATTCTGATCTCATAGGAATTGATCCGTTTTAATCTGAAGGAACATATTAAAGGCATAGAGCTGTGTTTACGTATCCTCTGTGAATGGGTGATGGCGACACATACTCCTGGACCAGGATCTGCTTTACGCCTTCCTGCCCCATTTTATGATTCCCACGGTGTTTCGTTGCCTTTTTTTGAACGGGATGAAATCCATCCGAGAAGCTGTCCAATACCGGGGTGCTGGGATTCCTTGAGGACAGATATTCACAAGCGCTTCGTAGCTGTCACCATTAGGGTCAGGTTCGCTGTTATATTTTTTTAAGGGAAAAAATTCAGAGTCCTCAGTTGATCGCATTCGTGCGTTATTGTCTGAAGGGGATTATTTCAAGAGACCTCACAGGAAAGATCCCTGTTGTCTCTGGGACCTTTGTGAAATTCTCGACGCACCTTGTGTGGCCTTTTGAAAACATGGCTTTGGCATTGTTGAAATTCGCTCCATGGAAAATCGTCCTATTGTTGGCAGTGACCCCTGGTGGGTGTGAGGATGAGCCTCAGTAGGCCTTATGTTACTCATCACGTTACATATATGTCACGTCAGTTTATAACGCCGTTGATGCACAGTGGTGACCTATCAAGCTCTATCCAGGCTCGAGCCTGCTTAGTTACTGAGATCAGGTATATTCTTTTTTATTTGTATTATTATTTTGCTTATTTAACCCAGGAAAGCCTCACTGAGTCTCAAAACTCGTTTTTAGCAGGGTTCTTGACAATGTTTCGCAGGAGGGGATGATGTTGCTGTCGTCTGTAATCCAAATTAAGTGATTTGCAAATCATTCAGCATCGGGATGTTTGGGCCAATACCAACTATATTAGGTTGTTTTAGCTATGGGACGAAACTACACAACTGAAAGGAAACCCATGCAGAACAGGGCAAGAACATACAAATGCCAACACAGGTGCCCAAGTCGGACATATAGTGTTATCACTGCATCACCCTACCACGTATCGGTTATCAATCACGTACTGTATACTTATTTTAATTTAAAAAATGCTGTCATTGTTTAACATTGTAGTATAGGTTACTGTTTCCAAATGTATTGACTGCCACCACTACATGTTATACATATTTCCCCAAATACTGTACTCCGATCATTTTGTCCAGAAATGTCAACAATCAGTTGCTGTTCCTGCCACGTGCTGTAGTTGCTATGTATTTTCACTTAAACGTCAGGTTTGCACCTGTTCTTAAATGTACATCAGCCCAACTGTACAAGTATGCTGTCCACCAAAGCAGATACTCTTAGATTATTATTTCTAAACACAAGCAGCAAAATTTAAGTTTGGCAACGCCTTGTTGGCATAAAGTATGTATACGGTCGTGACAGGGTGCTGGTAATTCATGTTTCTGGCATCACCTATTGACATTCCTGTATTATGCAATCTTAGTTGAATGCATATGTGGTGACACTGGGAGTAGGAGGCACTCTATTAATAGCCTTCACAGTTCACAAGAGTTAACTACGGCTCCCATTCAGCACAGCTGGCAGACTGCCTGACTGACGACGCCGAGATGGTGAAGACGTGGACGGCGACAAAGACTCCAGCAGCACGACAACGGGATCCCACTCCAGGCAACAGCCCACGAGCCTTTGCTCGGGGTCCCCTTTTATCCTCCCAGCGTGGCCTCGCTCCGCCCCGGCCACGCCCCCCTTCTAGAACCTACTCGCGGGTTCCCGGGCTTACCTCACGTGCCCCGTCTGTCACCTTTCCCCTACATCCCTCTCCCTGGCTTATCACGTGACCTGCTGACAGGGCTGCTGCAACTGCAGATCCCCTTTCTCTGCGAGCAACCCGTACTATGCTGTGTAGTGACCCATTTCATGTCACTACACATATAATGACAACAGTTCTTGCAAGGGAAAGCCCTGCGGGTACAGATATGTTAACTTTTAATGTTGTGTTTATTGTTGAAAAGCTCTCACTCGATTGTGAATTATTTATATACAGTCACTCAAATTGTACATGTATATGCGCATTATGCAGTAACCATTTTGCACCATTGGTAAAAATTGAGGAAACTTAAATCTACGACCACAATAATCAAAGCCAGGAGCCAACATAACTCACTCACTCAAGGTGATGCCTCCTGCGTTTATTAACTTTCTGATCAAACAGAAGCATTTGTGAGTATAAAAAAATGGCTATTATTCCCCACAATTTTTGCTTTTGTGACCAGGACAGTGATATTTTGAAATTTACCTATTTTCAATAAGAAAACGGGCGAATTTGTGTCTTTACGTTCACATAGTTAGAAAAAAACAACATATGAATCAAAATTAACATGTTTTTATACTAAAGTAATACAAAAATGACGACAATTTTTTTTAGAAGTGAGTAGTTTTTCTAGATTTACGATTATACTGTAAATCACTTTCACGAATCAGCCCCCAAATGTAGTCTCCCATCATGATCTCTTTATACTGTCCTTGGTAGCGGCGTTCAAAGTCCAGTATATGCTGGTGGAAGCACTCGCCTTGCTTCTCCGAGTACGCTTCCATGTTCTCCTTGAATTTATCAAGATGAGCATCAAAGATATGGACTTTGAGGGACATCCTACAGCCCATTGTGCCGTAGTTCTTCACCAGTCTCAACCAGCTCCACAGTTTTTGACCTTGTGATTGCCTAGGAAGCCACGAACCACTGCGAAAAAGCTGTCCCAAGCCACTTTCTCCTGACTAGTGAGCTTCTTGGGGAATTCATTGCACTCCAGGATCTTCTTTATATGTGGTCCGACAAAGATACCGGCTTTGACCTTTGCCTCAGACAGCTTAGGGAAGAAGTCTTGAAGGTACTTGAAGGCTGCCGACTCCTTATCTACAGCTCTGACAAATTGCTTCATAAGGCCCAATTTGATGTGCAGTGGTGGCATCACCACCTTCCGGGGGTCCACCAGTGGCTCCCACTTGACGTTGTTCCTCCCCATAGAGTACTCGGTCCGCTGTGGCCACTCCCACCTGTGGTAGTGTGCCTTGGTGTCCCTGCTGTCCCAAAGGCAAAGATAGCAGGGAAACTTGGTAAAACCGCCTTGGAGACCCATCAGGAATGCCACCATTTTGAAGTCTCCGATGACCTCCCAGCTGTACTCATCATACTTCAAGGCGTCCAGCAAGGTCTTGATGCTGTTGTAATCCTATTTGAGGTGCACCGAGTGAGCCAGGGGAAGAGACGGGTACTTGTTACCATTATGGAGCAGCACGGCTTTGAGGCTCCTGGATGAGTTGTCAATGAAGAGGCGCCACTCATTCTGGTTACAGGCGATTCCGATTGCCTCGAACAGACTGGTCACATTGTGGCAGAAGCAGAGCCCATCTTGACGGGTGAAGAAGCTGCAAAAAGGTTGGTGACGCTTCCTCTGATCTGCGATTTGCACACTTTCCACTGCTTGAGCCGAGATGTCAAAAGCTCGGCATTGAACTTGATGAGACCAAGATGTCTGATCAAGTCGTTGAGGTCTTTTTGGTTGGGGTAATATGGGTTTTCTCCTCAGCTCCACCTCTGAAATTGTCATCTGGATCTACGTCTTCCTCGCTCTCTGACTTGCTGCTCTCTTCTAAAGACGGCTGTTCTCTCTCTAGAGGAGTCGGTACGGGGAGCTCATGGCAGTGTGGCACTGGGGCGATGGATGAAGAAAGGTCTTGATAGCAGGTGCATTCTTGCCAGTCCGACGTTTGAAAGGGTCCACCATGCAGAAGTAGCAGTTGCTTGAGTGGTCAGTGGATTCCCGCCAAATTCTTGGGATAGCAAACTTCATGGCTCTCTTTTCCCCTCTGTACCATCCTACAAAAATATATTTATTTGACCCATGACTAATGTGTAATAGATTCTCGGAACATTTTTCATATGTGATATATTTTTCAATAACATTGAAAATTGCAAAACATTTTAAAATTAAAAACTTTTACAAAAATGTTATAAAATGTTAACATTTTATAACATAAAATTCCGACCAACAATTGTACATCTTACTTTACAGAGTTTTTTTGCATTGCTTGCAGGTGAAATGACGTGCCCAGGGTTTGTCTTTATCCCCGACAGGTATGCCGAAATACTGTATGCCTTGTAGGCCTCACGCATCTTAGCAGATGCTTCCACAGAGTACTTTTTCACTCTTGTCTTGATAAATTGGCCGCAGACATCGCAAAATGCGTCTGCCGGATGCTTGCAGCCTCTTGATGCCATCTCAGAAAAATGCAGATATGTATGCACTTAAGCAACTGGAACTAAACTGAACTGGTGGGCCTAAGGCCCCTGTATCTATACTACTATTTATATTACTATAAAGTTCTCGAATGTTCTAGAAGTTACTCCAAGTTTACTCAGCACAGAATTTATCTGGAATGTTCTGGAAAATAGGTAAATTTCAAAATATCACTGTCCTGTAGTTACCCCATTGTGGTCTCGTTAACAGTTACCACCTAGATATAGAACCCGTTGTTACGTTTAAGTAGTCACCCTGTTAGGGCCGTGTACTAAACGTGTTGCCTCCAAGTTCTAGTGTGTGCCTCCGTGAAGAACACTACACACGTATCAGAGCATTTATAGTTCCGATTCAGCAGTTTTTGAATATCTTAATAGCTGTTTTATTGCTATAAAGGGTAAAACCTATTCTTATTACTTTTTTCATTTTGATACTGGCAAAAATATCTCATCGATAAATATGAACAGATTAGAAGGACATTCTCAGCTGTTGACTTTTACACCAAGAGTAACAAATTGAGAGGAGGGTGTGACCCAAAAAAACTGAAACCCCACTAGTCCATTTGAGTCACCCGAATAAAAATATATTTTTTATTGATTTTGTGACCTTCATATATTTAACCTAGACCACTACCAAAATATGAGGATATTAAACGTAATAATAGAAACCAAAAATGTTATACCATGGAACTATATTTTCCATGCCACTTATTTGCTTTAAAGGATATATGATCAGCAAATGTAAATTCTATAATGTTTTATTAAAATATAAAGCACAGTGACAACTCAATTAAGGCCAGCAGTGGCCTTTACAGAAAATAGGGAATTAAAGCTTTTCTTGACTTGGGATAGTCTGAAAACTTTTCATGGTAATATCTGAAAGGAGAGAGAGAAAAATACACGACTTAATCTCATGGCAAACAGACAAATCAAAAACTGTACATTGTAATGGACTTCAGTAATGGAATCTCAGCATTCTGATGGAGTCTTTGTAAGCTCTTTAGTAAGAGTGGAAACGTATCGGCCTCAAAAGATGATATCTGATATATTCCGTATTGGCTCAATTACTACAGTTATTGATTTTACTTTGCTTTTTCCAATTATATACTGTTCATAAAAAAACACTTGTTTCAAGTGACAAAACTCAGCACACAGTATTTTTTCGTTTTTAAAGCTATTACTAATAATTACCGGCGATGTCTCCAGAAATTAAACCATTCAGCCACTGCTGATAATATTTGGCATCGCCTGTGTAATATGTTCAGCTACCAAAGAGATTTCAATATTAGGTGGATTTTGAGGACGTGTAACACTTTGACACTGGGTGACGATGACCTGTGCCAAATGTTTATTTCTATTAAATTTTTATATCGTGTAATGTATGCTCGGGTAAAGCTATGCTGGCCCAATCAATCCATTACTTTTGTAATATTTTTTGCAGTGTACTTGGCTTGGCTCAGTGACGCTACTGTGGAAATCTGGTCGGAAGTCCACTTGCCCCATTTATGGACCAACTCTGAAGCAGTCGTGAGAATTTCGGCGTTGACTTGTTCAGAGTATGAGATGGCTCAACTCCACGATCGTTGCCTGGTGACCCATGCCAACTCGTGCGCCTGATCGGGACCCCCCACCGGTGGTGGTGCAGGGCACGAGGCCCGATGCAACCGATGGTGAAAATAGCGAAGGCAAAGGCAGGGAAGGTCCAGGTGGCCAGGGCGTAGCCGATCCACTCCACAATCTCGCCCAGGAAGTTGGCGCCTGAGACCAGCTCGAACAACCCTCCTGCAGCCACAGCAGCGCACGGACAGGAACTGGAGGCACTGGTGGCCAAACACACGAGTGAGAACACCTCATCCAGCATAGGATGGAACATGGCTGATTATAAAGGATATAGGCGGACCTGAATTGGTTTTGGATGCATGTCGGTGTTTAAGTAAACCTAGTTTTGTGCTAGAAATAAAGAGTATAAATGAATGCAAATGTTATTTTCTGAGAGAGAAAAAAACATACTCTGTGAATTACATGTTGTTCATGCTTTTCCAGTTGTTGAAAATATTTTTTTACTGGAAATCTGGTTATCAACACCCCCCTGCTGACCGTGAGTGGAGGTGATGGTTATCTACGGTTATATGCAGGACCCTCATGATCTGGATTAAAAATAACACAACTTTTGTAGATGCACTTTGGTGTGATGTACCGTGGTCGAATTTGGATTTTTGCATAAATCAGGGTTTCCCACACTCCAGTCCTAACGACTCCCGTCGCAACGTCCGTCCGTGATTACCAATTGACTCCCCATTCAAATACAAATGAACTCGTTTTTGACTCCACATGTTCCCGGTGATTGATAAACACGTGCCACGTGACGTGCTAATCAATGAAATCTGCCCGCGTCACGTGGAGCACGTTTCCACGCACACCTGCAACACACACACACTGAGATCCCAATCTTCATGTGAATCAGCTCGATTAACGCAGACATCGTTCATTGCAATCGAGCGCGTGCAGCGAGGAACGGGTTCATTTGAACGCTGGGAAATTGGTCATCGCGGAAAGACGTTGAGTGAAGAGTCACGAGGACTGGAGTTCAGGACACACCACGGCATCATTTCTGTGTGATTTTAAAATCAGTTAACAGTAGTCATGGAATGATAACTGACACCCTCCCATCCTCTCTCTCTCTCTCTCAATGACTACTTCTGGTGAGTAACTTTAGGCATGAAAAGAAATACATTTTACTTTTCTAACCCAACATTAAACAGTGTCCCAATGTTATCATCTGCTGTGCTGTGTTCCAACGTCTGTTTTTTTTTGCTGAACTGACATTGCGCTTGTGAGGATAGCACAGACACAGGCGGATATGCCTGCTGTGTTTATACAGGGTGGGCCATAAGTAACTACCTGATTGTAAATGGCGGTATTTTGTGTTAAATTATTTTGTTTATTTTTCCCCCACAAATAAATACATTTAAACTATTCAGCGTGCAAGAATAGTTTAAATGTATTTCAGAAACAACTGTTCAATTATCTCACACAGAGAGACTATCACAGATATATTAAGAACCGAACGGGTGCGACGATGGGGGCTCATTTCCCATTAAACTCGTTTACATTGACATGCCAATCTCTCTCCCTTTAACGCAGCTGCTGTGCGTGCGTGCGGCGACGGGACTCCTTTCCACCTCTGGCCCCGCCTACTTACCCTTGGGTGACGCCCACCTCAAACCTGTCTATATAACCTCTTGTTGCAGCAGCCACCTCTTGTTGCAGCAGCCCTCTCCTGTTCAGCAGTTCTACTGCTGTATCTTTCCACCTGATGACGATTGCTTGTGTTGCGATCGAAACGCCGTGATTTATTATTTATTTTTCTACCTACGTTACTTTACCGAAAGAACAAAACAGTATGGACATAATGTTCTATTATTTTTGAGTTTATGTTTTTATTCCATTTTTCAAAAGTTATAGGCGAAATAAATCCGGTAGTTACTTATGGCCCACGCTGTACATGCTAATATAAAAAAACAATCTTAAGATACTATACTTTCCCAGGCGAGAGCCAATTTGATATCTTACGACTTTATTTTGAGGTTAATCTGGGTCAAAGTTGATTGCCCTATGTGTAATACAAGGCTAAATATACAGAGCTGAACCAACAAAGGAGAGAAACGTCAACAATATCGGTGTCGACGTTTGTAAAATAATATTAAAGGAAATACTTTAATATAGCAATACAATAGAAAACTCAAATAATATAGAAACAATGATCAGAATCGATTGTTCTCAGCTTCCCCGATTAGCACGGTTAACTATGTACGGTTTAGAGGAGACCCACATTAATTGTAGAAGTGATGAAGGTGGGGGGGGGGGCGTGCTACAGGTACATGACTCGTGGCTGAATGAGGGTTTACCAAATGTGTTCTTCTTCGTGGTTTGTAAAGGTATTTTGTGACGCATCATGATTTATGAAGAAGTGAATCCACTACACTATAAGCAAACCGGTTGAACTTGACTGCAAACATATTAATCTGGAAGAGAATGTTCTACTTTGTATAAACATTTATGAAGGTAAGTGAATGTCAGATCATTGAGGATTGCAAAACAAAACTATTTTTTATTTTAGCAGGTAATGCCCAGTGAGCGATATAGCTCGTTATTCAGAAGCGACCTGGACACAGATGACAGCTCGACGGAGTGGCTTACCACGTGGACATTTTCAAGCAGACAAATACTCTAAACGCGAGTTTGTAAATGCGGAGGGAAAAACCCGGGGACCCGAAGGCAAAGAATCCATGCGACCACGGGGAAAACACGTAAACTCCAAATATTACACTCGAGTTTTAAAAGAACGTTTCCAAAGCAAGGGAGGGCTTCTCGCACCGCGTTGATAAGTGGGGGTATGTGGGGCTTGGTGACTGCGAAAGGTTTGTCAAATGGACAGTCAACCTGATATTTTGAATTTCCAGAGTTGGAATTTAGCCAATTAAATTCAGAAGCAAATTAAGTTAATAACGTTACCTGGTTGAGAATATCTACCCGCTTCACTCAAAAACTCGGTTTCATCACAGCCGGCTAACTGGATTGGAACCCAGCGTCGCAGGTGCACCGTTTCAGCCCTCTTAACCACCCAGTGATCTCAAATTACCGGGTTCATTGTGCAAAACACCAACCACCGCACGGCCACTCTGCCAGTTTTGTAAGTAAAACAACCTTGTGACTGGAAACTAAGATGTTGAGCGGCTTGATGAAGGGGCAAGGGGTTTATGGTTATATCTGCGCGTGACTAGGGGCAACATCGATGACTGACAAGTCAATAAGTATACGGCAAAAGTGAATCTGCAGTTCAGGGTTCATGGGTTCTCACCACGTGGGATTCTGTACACATACTCCCCAGGTTTCCGCAGATTTCGAAGGATCCAATCGCTGTGAATGTTCATAGCCACGCCAGCCAGGAAGATGATGGAGCCTAGCAGCACAAACACAAACAACAAAGATAGCCCATATAGCCTGAACCGACTTTTGATTGCGAGCACCAATGAAGGGCGCTATGGCACACGAGGGGGTTTGTGGCCAGAATCACGCCCGACCACCTTTGTCTCCCTAGTGGCGATGTTTACACATCGCACTAAAGGGTAGGCCCAGGACCGGTTCAGATAATCGTCACTGGTGTTGGCCGTGAGTGGGAATCAAACTCAGTTCGCTCGTAGACACATGCACATCTGTATAATACACACACACACATTTGCAACTCCTTCCTGCCAAAAACATATTTATGTTTATATCCAAGTTGAAGGCTGTCATTCCTTGGTGTGTGACTGTTCCTTCTTTGAGAAGACTCTCCATGCCAAACATTGAATTGACCTTGGGATGTAGTTATATTTATACAATTTATAAATCCAGACTATTCAACCGTGCTGCCAATGAAGGATTAAACTCGAGCATTTACAAGTCGTGCTGTGTTCAGTGCGTTGCTGCAAAACAGAACAATATAAGCTTGTTCTGTCAGTTTGGCAGTGTAGGAATTATGTAAGCCAATTATCCGTACTTTTCCACCTGATGTACAAAGGAGATTATCGATACAGCTGATGGAAAGGATCATTTGGAATTGAATAGACAAGCAGACCAGCAAAACGGTAATCCGATCACGGGCAGCCGAAAGCCTTGGACATGAACCAGAAGGGCTCTAAGTCAGCCACGCCCTCCCGTGGTCAAGGTTTGTTTTGGTTCACTTTCGGGGCACACTCCTCTGATGACTGTTTTAGACGTGGAGTTTCTGAATCACATAGACATAGAGAGAGTATTTCACCTCATGCTTTCCAAGGCACTCCACTTCCTTGTCATATTTGAAAACATTCACGAAAATGGCCAAACGTCACAAGCAAAGCCCTGCCTTTAAATTGGTCTAAACGAATAAATAGACAATGTGTAGACTCGGTGAGGCTCTCCAGGATCTTGTCGATTGTACGTGGACAATTTGGTTGTTAGCCAAGTGGCGTTAGCATGCATCCATGGTGCAAGGAATGAAACTTCCCTCCACCCCTTTGCGGCCCGGTGTCTAGCACCTCCGGCTTGTGCGCCCTGGTGCAGCTGCACCGCCTGCACACTCGATAGCCACACCACCGTGGTTGGCCCCCTACCTATGAGAAAACGTGCATCGGTGAGCCAGTTCGACGGGTAGCTCTTGCATTTTAGAAGGTTGTAGCTTTGCAGGTATCCGTTGAGGGTGCAAAATACAAATGCCTTGACCATGACCGACAAGGATGTGGGGCGGCCCCGAGACAGCAAAGAGAAGATGAATGTCCTGCGGGGAGAGATAACCGCACGCACACCACCATCAGCGCAGGTGCTGCCTGAATATTGACGAGCGTACGACAAAGCAAGTCCTTCTTCAGTTCACCGATCAGGGGCAGGTCCATGGCCCCCTCCCTCCAGCACGATCCCATTGTCCCTCGCCACCCGGTAGGGTTGAACGATTAATCGATTTAAAATCGCAATTTGAAACAATGCGATCAGCAAATCTCAAAGGCTGCCATTTTTTTGTCGATTTGAAAAGTCCTATGACTTTCTTATTGGAATTGTTTCATTCTTTTATTATTATAACTTCATTTATTTAACTTAACAATTGTTTTGATTTAAAGCTTTCGTGACTGCAGTAATTCATATTCTTAGTTTTTTCGGTAAAGTCACGTTGAAGAGAAACAACAAAATAACAAAATATATATAAAGCAATAAAAAATTCTCACGACGTTTCGACCATATATATATTTTGTTATTTTGTTGTTTCTCTTCAACGTGACTTTACCGGAAAAAACTAAGAATATTAACAATTGTTCTGTGTTTGATTGTTCTATTTCATTTAAAACATTTAATAAAAACATGTTGGAAGCAATTCATATATTTTAAGTTCTCATCCTTGTATTAGAATATATAGAGCAGTTCATATTTTGATGGTATCATGTGGTAATGCTCCATCACATGTTTTTAATATTTTACACAATGAAAATTTAACTGAAGCTTGACTTAAAAAAATGTAATATCAAATCGCAATCGCAATATCTGTCAGAAAAATCGCGATTAGATATTTTCCCCAAATCATTCAGCCCTGCCACCCGGTGACGTAACAATCCACACGAGGGCTCGTCAACCATCACTAGGGAGGGCCAGTGGATGCTGGGTCTATCGTTGGTGTGTTTCACTTCGGCGAACACGTGATCAAGGTAGGTGCGTTTTAAATTAAGGTGCAACCCACATAGGTAGCTAAGAGTTAGTCAAATACCAAGTTACGTCAATTTTGTAGTCTGGATAATGCTTTTTAAAAAATATTTTACTATTTGAAAAATGTTGAAATTACATTTTTCGCTAGATTGTATTTTTTCTTTCTCCAAACTATCCCTTGTCCCAGGTTTTTTTTGTTACATTTTATTAAAAAAATTTCACTTAACATGTTTCACTTCAAGGATGGCGTCACACTATCATATGTCGATGCATAATAACAACAAATGTGAATATCAAAGGCCCTGCAACCTGGTCATGGCAGACAAGTCACAGGAGTAGAAAAAAAACCCGATGAAACAGCATCTAGACGAGAACAATTGTAAGGGTCGCCTCTTCATTTCAACGCCCACTTAACGCATGATTCTAACTGTGGAGGGAAAAACACAGCGCTCGTCAAAAAGCATTCCGCCTTAAATGAAACAAAAAAATGTAAACGGCAACGCTTTCGGCAATGGCCTTTCTTCAATCAGGTGCCATGAATAATAATAATAATAATGGCGATTGCCTAAAACAGTGGTCCTTAGCCTGAGGTGCATGCACCCCTTGGGGATGCGAGATGCCATTTCTGGAAGGTAAATAATCGAAACACAAATTAAGCAGGGTCACGGTTTACTTTGTTTCATAAAACCTATGTATTGATTAGCATTATTTTTTTTTTTTACGAACGAGAACCAAAGGGGTGCATGGCAGCAGTAAAGGTTCAGGACCACTGGTCTAAAGAGATCGCCTATTTAGGAACGCCTTGAGGTTTCTATTTATTGTTAAGTGTGCTTGTGCACCACCGCCAACACGGCATCACCAGGTCATTTGTTTCTAAATCATACCAAACATTAAACTAATTTTCAATGGTACAGTATATTCATCCAAGTAGTGATATACCAAACTTTCACAGCAGCTTATTTCACTTCAAAACAACGTTTGCAAACTCTCCTCCCCCTCCCCCGTGCCGGTCCATCACGTTGCTGCACGGTCATTCCCTCGCACACCATCATTTGTACATTTGTATATTCCCCATCCCCTCCCCCGTGTTGTTACTCTATGAGCATTTTATGCTAATTCCTTTGTCAAAGCGTTTTGTTTCCTTCCACACAGCTTAAAAGGACGCGACCTGACTTGACTTTCTTCTTTCCAACTCTGTCCTTGTGACAGCACGGTCCCTTCACCTGATGAAGGCCACTTGTGTTGTGGCCGAAACGTCGTGATTTTTTGTTTTATTTTTTACCTACGTGACTTTACCGAATAGAACCAAAGAGTATAGTGCATATATTATCATAGAATGTGTTTTGTTCGCATTTTGACTGCAGGTATCGTGGTTAACGCAGACATGAATCCTCGTAAAAAGGTTTCAGTTTTGTTGCCAGAAAAAAAAAGGGGAAAACCATATCATTACATTCCTCAATAATCAATCCCTCCCTTGGTGCGTGTCAAAGTGTCATGCTTGAGACCACGACTCGAGCCACACCTTTGGTGATCAGTGCGCAGAGAAATCACTCCCGACTCTGTGTCACACGCAACACACCTCTGGAAGTAGTGCCCGCAGAACATTGCGAGATGCACAATGTTCACCGTGTCGACGGAGCCGCGTTCGGAGGAGCCCACGTGCACCAGCAGGAGGATCACTGGCACCGCCAAAGAGGGCATCTCCTGCGTGCACCACGCCAGCCTTGCGGGAAGCATCACCCGCGGCCGTCCCTCGCGGTCCCAGAAGCGACCGTAGGCCATCTCCTTGCCCAGGGTGTTGAGCACACCTGCCGCAGCCATGCACAGCCCCATCCAGGTGACCAGAACCTCGTTGCAATGCGTGGACATGCTGTGTGACGGGGTGATGGTTGCGTTGTTGCCACTGCCGCCGTTGTCTATGCGGCCTGAGTGTAAGGCGTGCGCATGCACGTAGTGTTTGTACGGCTTGAGTTGTTTCCAAATGGAGAAAGAGTGGCTGCTTTTTGTTTTGTTTTATAAGCTCGAAGTGTGTATGACGCGGCCGGCGCGGGGCGGTCCGCGTTTGCAGAGGATGTATTGTTTAGGTGACTGTCTCGGTGCTGCTGGCTTTTTTGGCTGCTGCTGCTGCTGCAGCACGTGGGGGCTGGGCTGCCAGCTGGAAAAAGAACACCTGAGCAAAAGACGTGGCATAACAAAAAAAAACGAATCAACACACCTCTCCAACAACACTGCCTCGAAAGAAATGTTTTATATATATCATCGGAGACGTTTCGGGCAATGGTCCTTCTTCATAGTATGGAATAGTCGCGCTTTGTTCTTTTATAGCCGTGCCGCAAAGGGTGGGCGGGGAATCCCTAAACCCCTTTGCCTGTGCGAGATCACTGGGTCGCTGTGAGCAGGGGGGTATGGGGACTTCACGCTCAACCCTGTCACAGTGATACTACTGCAGTGTATTTAACGAGCGTGTAAATTGTACAGTGCCACAGATGATGCGAGTGCCCGCCCTGAAAATGTGGAATTGAGACGGCCAGCGCCAACGAACGCCGCTCTGTGCTAGTTTGAGGATGTTAACTATGAACCTGTTGCAATCCATACTCTTTGGTTCTCGGTAAAGTCACGTAGGTAGAAAAATAATAATAGATCACGACGTTTCGATCGCAACAAAAGCAATCGTCATCAGGTGGGAATATTATTGTGTTATTTTATTTTATCAATTTATTATTTTTATTATTTCATTCTCATTCTACGTGACTTTACCGAAAGAACCAAAGAAGATGAATACCGTAGAAGGCGAGACGGATGGGTCTTGCTTAACAAGTTCCTGGAACAGTGAGCCACTTTATTTTATTCCGGCTGAAGCGAAGCGCATGTCGCGATGTCTAAAGCTGTGTTTGCGATGTTCCATTCCTCTCTCCAAGCAGGGTTCCTTGAAAGCGAGAAATTCTCGAGTGTCGAGTGGTTTACATAATACCGTGCGTAGCACACTCTACTCTTCAACAAGCTCTGTGTCTTCAGAACGAGTGATCGCCACCTCGCCTCAACGACTCCGGGGCGAGGGCGTTCACAGTGTCGAGACGCGTTCCGCGTTCACAGTGTCGAGACGCGTTCCGCGTTCACAGTGTCGAGACGCGTTCCGCGTTCACAGGTTCGCCCATTTGCTTGCTCTCGTCTATTTAATTCACATCTCAGTTCCATGTATTTGGTACAGCCCCTGTGAGCCGTGCGGCTCTTGAATTGGGTGCAACCGCAACAAACAAAAACACGAACAAGAAAAACATCTTAAAGTGACTACGCGCTACAGAAAAATCCAGGAAAAAAACAGCAAAGTATTACAGAAAAAAGCACCGTATATCACCGTATATTCATACATAGCATTGTTTATTATCCGTAAAGCGCCTCGGTCAAGGCGCCGTGTAAATTATATTAAGGTAATGTATGTGGCCAGGTTATACGAGCCCATCGTGACGTTGTGGCACAAGTTTAGCTCTGGGGGTTGGCAATCAAAATAACAAGAGGAGAAATTTTCTTCGAATTCGGTCAAACAACCCGAAATATTTCGAGAGCCGCAATGGCACGTGAACACGAGACGATACTTGATGAATACCGTCAAGCCTGTAATCGCTATTTTAAGAAGAGCACACGCACAATGATTTGTAGTACCACATTTGTAATGCCACATTTGTAATGCTACATTTACAAATAATTGTTGGGCTTTTGGACGTTCATCGTTTATCGAAAATAATTTGGAGGGTTTTTTTTTTAACTTGGCGACGATCGTGTCGGGAAACACGAAGCGGTCCTTAAAAGAGCCGCATGCCGCTCCGAGTCTGCAGGTTGCCGACCCCTGGTTTAGCTAAATACAAAAACTTCAGCCCTTTATCATTTCACCGCTGGATGATGAACGCCGAGTCGGTCGTGGGGAGTCGTTTGACCATACCTCACTCCGCAGGTCAGTGACGATCGGAGAAGATGCCTCTCTCTCTCTCTCTGGCCGAAAGTCGAACTCAGGTTAACGTGGTTCGAAAGGGCATCACACTAGCCACTGCGCCGCCGCTCCACCCAAACAAAAAAAACGACCTCGAACCGTCAGAAATCGAGCAGTGGATTGACATTGAGGTTTGGATGTTTTGTGTGTGTGTGTGTATTGGACCCCGTCGCATTATCCGGACTGTCACAAGACGAGAGAACACTCAGCGGTGGGGGGGGGCGATCTTTGGGTTGTGTCCTCTGAGCTGGCGGTGACTCATCTCCCCGTGTGGTGGGGGGGGGGTATTCACGTGAGGAGGGGTGGGGGGGAGTCTGTTTAAGTGGGGATGCGGTTGGCGATTGGAGGGGGGGGGATTGGGACCGGTTGATTTCCAATTCGACGCAAAAGTTGGAGGAATACCAATCAGTAGCGTCGTCTGTCCCTGCGGCCACATTTCCCACGCGCCCGCTATTTGTCCAAGCTGTCCAGATGCCTACAACACGGGCTCTTTGTTTGGAAGCACCCGTACGCAGAGTTCTTACGACTCAGCACATTCACTTTCTTCTTCTGCATAGCATTTTAAGTTTGGAGCCAGTGCGATGCATGAAGTGTATTGCGCCATTCAACTCCTTTGCAGTTTTGCACGCAGCTGCAAATTGCCCATTTGTCACGTAGTTAAATTACGTAACGTAATGAGCGCATTCGGCTTTTAGAGCTTCAGGTGGATAGTGGGCCCGACACGTTGCAGACACCGCTATTTTCCGTTCGTGCATTCCGGCTTTCATGGATGTGCCAAGGTTATGTCGCCGTGCATGGCACCACGGCCCTTTTGTTATCAAGGTCTCCTCAAGACGTGTCAGTAGTCATGTTTGTTGAGCTTCTTTCGCACCATACGTAGCCAACCGTACTGATCGGAGGTGCGGGAAATGACGGGATACACTTTCGTATGGCGTTTGAGAAAAAAAAGGAACAGGTTGAATTTAAACTTGATTTGACGCTTTCGTGACTGCAGGAATTACTCTTTGGTTTTTTTCGGTAAAGTCACGTAGAAATAATAAATAATAATAAATAATAAAATTACGTAATACATTTCATACTTAACTTGCTATTTAACAATCTTGGAAATAGCGTAATCAACCAGACCATGCGTTAATTGTGTTTTGACCGACCGTCTGTGTTGCTTTATATGGTTTCCAAATTTTGCTCAACCCTGTTTGATTTAGTGTGCTCCTCCGTCTATATATCTACGGTTATGTGTTTCCTCTCTCTCTTAAATTTAGCTCTTCTGTACCTGATGATGATTGCTTGTGTTGCAATCGAAACGTCGTACGCTATTATGTAATTTTATTATTTTTATTATTTCTTATTTCTACGTGACTTTACCGAAAAAACCAAAGAAGTTGAATGTACTGTCATCGTAGCTTTAATTATTATTTTGTAAATATATTCAGCGGCATTCGGGGTCGTAGGCGAATTGAGCCTCCCATTGATCCACCAGGGCACAGCGGAGGCTGACATTGGCCAGTCGTCAGCGATGACTACACGCCTGATGGTTTACATCTCACAGCGTTTCGCAGTTTGGCGAGCGCTTGGTACGCCACTTATTGAGGAAATAAAACACCATAATTCATCACGCTTGGTCGGCGCGGGACGCTCAAGGCGGGAAGTCGTAGACGTGGGAGTTGACAAAGTACGGAACACAACGATTGGATTTGCCGAACACCCCACCACTGTCCCACCATGTAGCTCCGCAATCTGTGTTATCCAGGCTCAGACCTGCTTAGCTCGCGAGATTTGACAAGCTCGTCGCATTGTGGATGATTTGGCTATAGCCATTTTTTTCGGTGCGCAAGATATGTGCTGTGAAGAAAGGGCCATTGCCCGAAACGTCACATATATATTTTAAGAAAATGTTGTTGACGAGTGTGCTTGTGCCAACGCAGCGGAATCAGCAAATAATGTGTGTAATGTGTAGTTTGAAAAGTGCATCTGTAAAGATCTCAGGTTTGTACAAAATTACGATTTGGGTGTTATTGTTTGTGCACCACTGCCAAAGCTCTATAAAAACATGAGGATGTGTTTATTATTATTATCCCGACCGGGTAGCAAGCCCGGTCGAGTCAACTGGGGACAAAACGCGCGCCCACGCTCTGCTCGTAATGTAGAACTCTTCTGCAACCGAACAGCTGCGTAATTATTCATTTCGTGAAGAAGCCTCCAGCGCGTTGAGCGTAACGTCGGACAAAGTGCCGAACGACACGTGGCGCAACCCGACATCACAATCGGAGTGCTGAACACTGCACATCCGCGAAAGCCTGCCAGGTGGTAACTATTAACTTGCCCGCTGCTCTCTCACCGCGTGAGCAAAGACATTTCAAAGTTGCGCCAGGAGAGAGCAATCTCTGCAAAGCGAAACTGAAGCTTAAGTGAAAATAGAGAAGTACGTTATGAATGATTGTACAAGGTTTGGGGGATCAATGAGACCAGATTTCTCTTCTTCAGGGGAGACCTCGGGAGGGGGTTAGACTCTGCTGATGAGATGCTAAAAGTTAAAACTTGTTCAAAGTATTTTATGCTCAAACACTTTCCACTCGCTTACATACGTCTGGAATCCCATCCGGTCAAATAGAATAAACATTTTTTTTTAATGTGGATATACAGAACAGACGGCTCTATTCGTTGGCTTATGAAATACAGATCCAGATCGCAAAAGCACATCGAGTAATTTCTGAGCAGAGTTATCTGAATGGGCAGCATTAAAAAGTGACTTTGCATAGCCCTTAGCTCTTGGTCGATCCACTGCTGGATGAAGGCCCCGACTTGCACCGTGCGGTTCGTGGGGATTATTTGACCATCCTTCAAATCCCTCTTGAGTGCGGCTTGGTGAAGGCGGGGCTGTATAACCGCGGGAGTGTTACAATCCAGTTGTATGAATTCGTATAACACCGCGCGTGTAAAGCATAACGTCATACGGGTAAGGTATTGGGCCTGTTCTTGCACGCTGGCCAGACACTTTGTAAGAGGTGGGATTACTCAAGGCTGTAGACATGGAGTCAACATTGGGGGGACCAAATCTTCCAGGGGGTCTGGGGGTCCCCCTCCCCCATAAAACATTTACATTTGAAAACTAATTTCCTGCCTAAAATATAAAAAAATCACTAACACATACGACGGACTTTTTCTTTATTTTTTACAATAATGTCTAATAGTGTATTGTATTACATTGCTCTGTTTTTACTTTTTTACCTTTTCTTGTTTCATTGTATGTAATGGCAGAGATTCGGGATTAATAAAGTACAACCATAACCACAATCATATAAACAGAAATCTATTTTATAGCAATATATTGGGGGGGGGGAGACATTTTGACATTTTGAGCATATTTGAATATTGGGGGGGATAATATATATTGGGGGGGTGGGATGTGTGCCCCCCCCCCCAATACGGCCTTGGGATTACTCATACTTTAAGTACCTCATTTACGCGACCCACCTATCGACCGGCCGTGGTGCATGGAAATCACTTCAACTTGTAGCGCGATCACCAGTCACTCAATCTCGTAGACAGAGAGCGACTCGGAGGCGCAAGAATCCACGGAGAAGTGGGAAGGCAGCAGCCACGCGTTGGGCCCACGCTCCGCGGTCCCCTACATTTAGTGAGATCGTTATCAGCAGCCAACTATTGAGTGCAAACACGTGGAAGGAAACCGGAGCACCTGGGGGAAACCCACGTGTGCGAGGGGGCAACACTCTATCCCGTACAGACGTAATAGGTGGAGTCCACACATGTGCATCTCCTGGCAAGTCAGGGTGTAGCATTTTTTTTGCGTGGTGATCCACCAACCTTGGCCACGGGTGCTGGATTTACAGACGTGTTGGCCGGACCAAACCTGCCTACCTGCATGTGTACCGCACGCAAGGCGCGCCCTGTTACATTCCAAATACGTTTAATACCGGAGCATACTTCTATCTTGACAAAAAAACTGCAAATGACCGCTCCGTTCCACTTGACTCCCCACGACCGAGCCGTTCGCCTCCAGTACAATGTGATCCGTGCTGTTTTGTCTCGTTTGTTAAATTCTGTTTCGCTTGGACCATTTCCTCATATTCTGTTTCAAAACGTGCATCAATGTTCCGAATAGAAAAGACTCAATGCTCAGGCGCACAACGCTATGTACAGTATATACAGTATATACACATCAACTCGACACATTCGTCAACACTGCCTTAAAAGGAAAAAAAAATAGATAATGGGTGACGTTTTGGTTCAATGGCGCTTCTTCATAGCAGATACAATTTGATTTCCTGTGATTGTGCATCAGTGCCAACGCAATGTCACCAAATAATGTTGATAACATATGTATACGTATTGTGAGCGTAACACTCGATTGGAATCGACTAATAAATCAAATATTACATTTTGATTTAAAGCTTTCGTGACTGCAGTAATTCATATTCTTAGTTCTTTCGGTAAAGTCACGTTGAAGGGAAACAATAAAATATACATTGTATTATATATATAATTATTATATTGTTTTATTATTATTTTATTGTTATATATATTATTATTTTATTGTTTCCCTTCAACCTGACTTTACCGAAAGAACTAAGAATATAAATCAAATATTACACGTTTTGTAATTACTCTACAGCAATGTAAGGCATTTACTGGACGTTATATAGGAATGGCTCGATGGAGGCTGTCATCCAGCACTGGATTGATCTTGGCTGATGACGACAGGGATACGTTGCTGAGAATGTCACGGTTTTCAAAACTAGGTCGTAGAGTCAATCGGTGTCTTCAATTCCGACACGCGAATCCATAACAATAGCGCGTGTCATGTTTATTATGGGCAGGCAGAAAGGTCACATTGCGAGTAAATAAGTTGGGTGGCGCACTGGGTCGTGACGTCTCGACTAGCATTATCACTCACTCGATCTCAATACCACTGCTTGAAGTCGTGCAAGCACTTCTGTACCCACACGCGCTTGCGATAATTGATGGTGGGAAAAATCCAGGAAAAGGCTATCAACAGGAAAATGCTAAAAACGGAATGTGTAAAATTTAGTTTAAACTTCAACCCCTGATGATGATGGTGGGAAAGCCAAATGAGCTCACGAGAGGTCACAAACAAACACCTCGTGAAAGACCCGATGGCTTTGATCTTCCACGGAGCTTCTGGACCACAACCCCTAAACCACATCTGCACGATGACAGCCGATAGTTGATGGACAAATTGAAAATGAAAACATCTCCGGTGCGCGGCTGTG